GAAAGAAAGAAAGTGTAGTCCAGTGGAAATATAAGAGCACATATAAAGTTTATATTCTATGGCCATATTAGAAAGTAAAAAGAAATGGTAAAAAGTATAAATATTTCATTTAGACTAGTATATCCAAAAATATTACCATTTCAACATGTAATCAGTATATGATATAAATCACTAAGGAGATTTACATTCTTTCTGTCATCCCAAGTCTTTGGAATCGGCATGTGTATTACACTTTCAGCATATCTCATTCTGGATGCTAACTTTTCAGTGGTTAAAGTAAAATGTAGTCCTACCAAAACAATAAATGTGTTTCAGAAATATTATTTATTGCTTCATATAGTTTTGATAAAATTAAAAATCAGTTCTTCAGTTGCACTACCACATTTCAAGTACTCACTTGAGGTCAATATCTTCCCAAGGTGGAGTTCGGATTCCACCAACTTCAGATCCTACTAAAGCCAAATGCCGCCCCACTAACTTCATCTTCACCAGTTTCCTCATGCAAAGCTCTCTATGCCTCATCTTTAAGTGGGGCTAATAATATATTTTGTAGCTAATATTTGTAGAGTGTTCAGAGCAGTGCCTGGGCATGCAATGAGACTATGTTTGGAGAAGAAAAGTTTCCTAAGCAGTTTCCTTATCTGTAGTGGAGAGGATAATCATTCCTAGTCCCAAGATTCGGCCAGAGCTGTATAAACCCTTTGGATGGCACTTAATAAATATTAACCCTTCTCTCCTGCAGAAGTCAGCCACGTAACCAGTCATTTAAATGTATTTGATGGTTCTCACTTCTGGACAGTGGTGGGGCAGCTAAGACTAGAACCACATTCCTGGATTTGATGCAGACACAATCACTCCACAAAAGTGATGGCTTCAATTCATTCAAAGTGAATATTTGCTTTGAGTGAAGGCCAGGATATAAATAATAGTGGGAGTGACTTAGTGTGCATTTACCATGTGCCCAACACTGGACTGCATGGTTGTATACGTACATCTCCTTTGCTTCCTTCAGCCCTTGTGAAGTGGGACAGCTAGAAGCCCATTTTCACATGAGGAACCATAGGGACTGGCCGACCCGAGTCATCATAGAGCTGGTTTCCTGTCTGGTTAGGTTGATTGTTCAATTTCA